CCCCCCCGTCCCCATCTCCAATATCAAATATATACATACTCCCATACATATTGCTTAAGTGTATGCTTACACTCTGTTCTGTTTACTCCCCAGATAATCTGCTCCGTTTTGCTATAATTGAAGTTTGTTTGGTTGTTTGTTTCACCGCCTATGTTGGCAGATTCAATTTTCTTTTGACGGGGGGAAAAGGGGGGGGGGGTAAATCTGGCTGCGTGTTTTCATGGTAGGCTTAGCAGTCCACATTGGCCCTATTCTCACGAAAGCTTCTATAGTACATTCTATATATTGACAAGGTGTACGTTATATTTGGTCCCCCTTGTCTCACAACAACTTCTATAATATATTCTATAATATAGACAACGTGTATATTAATTGTTTGCACGTTTCTCCCCAGATTGGCCCTTGTCTCGCGACTACTTTTATATAATATATACTTTACATATAGACAACGTGTATAATCGTTTGCATGTTTCTCCCCAGATGGGCCCTTGTCTCGCGACAACTTCTATAAAATATTGTATGATATATAGACAGGGTGTATATTTATATTTGTTTGTGTGTTTCTCCTCCCTCAGGCGACAACTCTCTGGCGCACAAAGACAACCTGCCCCTGGCCGACAATGAAGACTCGCTCTACGGGAACCACATGGCGCTGTACGAGGTGAGCACACGGACGAACACTCACGCGCACATACACTCCGACACTCTCACTCTTATTCTCACACGCACGCACAAATATACACAGGCAAACACTCATGCGGTCCCCAACACCCACACTCACACACCCCACATTCACACACGCACACATGAACTTATGCTGTTGCGAGCACCGTAAAACCTCTACTAAATTAAAAAAACAACAACACACAAACATGCACGTACAAAAGCAAACTCATGTGCGCTCCCCAACGCACTCACTTACACACACACACACAAACACACACACACACACACACACACACACACACACACACACACACACACACACACTGTTTCTATCTGACATTTGAAGTTTCTAATTGTGTTTCATTTGGATTTGTTATTTTTACATTTGAACTTAAAAGGCACAATCGCGCATTAAAATGTTCTATTTTACTTGTGAACTTTCTATGTGGCGTGAAACATTCTATGTGACATTGGATCTTGCTTTGTGGCTTCTTCAGAATTACAAAGCTCCCTCTGCTCAGCCCCGAGTTTTGACAAATGACGTTAAAGACTTTGAATTTCAAAACATGTCAAGCTTTTCAGATTACAATTTTTTGAATACCTTGATAACTATTCCGAATAATCTTACGACTTTGATACAGCAGACAGAACGTTTGGTTTCTGAGCTCATGGTGTTGGTAACTTAAAATGGCCCAAACTGTTAGATAGAACTTTGTTTTTATGAGGTAGCGATGGGGCATTTGTATTCCTTAAATGTACATGTATTCCTTAAAATATATTACCTTGATCTATCAACTTCTCTTCATCAACGTACTTCAACAAGATCTTCTTAAAACGTACTTACTGGTGATCTACTGGTTCTTTGTCTCCAGAAGGGACGCGCGGTTAGTTCGCAGTCGGGCAAGGAATGGTGGCGAATGGACTGGAAGCGTTTTTAGAACTGAGTAAGCTATGGTGTACATGGAATTTCTTATAGCTAAATTTAAATCCTGGTTGATAGCAAAACCAAAACAGAAAGCGGAATTATGCTTCGCGTTGAAGCTCCCGTGACGGCGAGAAACTAATTGCTCAAGTTGAAAACATTTTCACCACTTCCCTGCTGTGAAGATGGGGCATAGTTGTGAAATCAGGAGCTCGCCAAGTTAATGAAATAAAAGAAAACAGCAGTCATCTTCCCATTTGGCAAATCTGATTGAATTTTTGTTTTTGTTTCGGCTCAACACTTTTCATGTCAATTGACATACGCTTTTCTGTGTGGCCTTTACTACAAACGTTGATTAAAGGCTTAGAAAAGGTAAATTTACAGTTTCCAAGGGCTATCAAGCTTTGAAAGTCACCAAACTGTGACAGCCATGTTCTCTATAATTTTACCTCCGAAACCCCACCTTCTCTAATCTGAAAGATCTCGATTTCTTTTCAATACAGGTTAATAGATGTTTCATAGAAAGCAAGACAACTGAACAAGCTTTACGATTATACATCGTCGGCTCAGAGTACAAGTGTCGTATGTCCACTTTTCATGAAATTTGAGATAAAACCACTGATGCACTCAATTTCCTAGGCACTGTGTCTCCAATAAGTATGAAGACTTTAAGTACAGTATTTGTTGAGATATCCAGAACCCACTTGTCGCATGTCCAAATCAGATTAAAAAAGAAGAGAGTACAACTGTCGAAACTCCATAAGCATTAATTTCGACACATTTTGTTTCGTCGTATCTCCATTTGAGCCAATGGGATGAGAGAGTGCCGTCACGTGATTTTGTGAGCAAAGCAAAATAGCGTCGTCTAGAAGAGGACTGTTCAACGATCAAGAGGCCCTAAAAGTGTATGTTCATTGAATTTGAAAGAGTAATCTGTTTTGATGAGTGTGTCTGCATGCAGAGGCGAAGCGTCTATATAATCAAATAATCACTGCTTCCCTTCCTAATTTTGAAACATTGTCGAGGTCAAATTCACCTATAAACGTAAACCTTATAAATTAAAGATAAAAAGACGTTCATAATCAGCAATGAACTGTATGCCTAACATTCAAAACGGTTTCACTGCCACAGAAATAGTCTTCAGTGGTGGTGAATAATTCTTTTTTCTCTTTGACTTGACGTTGCTAGTCCAGTTTGAAGTTTCCGGTTTTCCTTCAATTGTTTTCGTACTGAGATCTAGCTATCACTGGGGCGGGGAAACATTTTTAAAAATAGAAGCTGAAAATCTTCAGTTCCGGACTTCAGACACAAGTAGATAAGATTATGTCTCAATAACTTGTGTGCTCTGTTTTGAACTTGTATCAAATTACAAGTGTGTTAATTAAACTGCTGCTCATCAGGGTTAGATCATGAATATATACGATTACAAGTTTTATTTGGCCGTGCTATAAAATCTTATACAGTGGTTCAATGGTAACATACAGCATTCATTTGTAATGTGGTCTTATATTGAACTATATTTTAGTTTACTCCCTTACACCACAATTCATGGTCGTCGCACCCAATCCCTTCTATTCTTATTATGTTTTGCGTTTTTTACGGGAGAGGAGGGAAAGGGCGGGGGGCATTCAAATTAATAGCAATACGATGTTCAAGAAATATGTAGATATACTGAATTAACATTTTGTAATGAGTGCTCTCAGTTTTCTTGAGGTACTCTAACATTGGTGCCTTTAGGATAAATTACGTAGTATACTAGTCGTGATTTGTTTGCCAAATCCTTTTATCTCTAGCTGGGGGTTTTTTGGCTTTGTTTTTCCGACAAATTGGTAATTCACTAATCAGCTTGTGTATTTTCCCAGCTTTGCTAATCTGTGAAGGCCCAGCTGACAACTGATAAGTTTGATTCATGACTGTAAATCCTCAAGCCTGAATGTCAGGTCAACTACAGTGGCCCGTCTTGGTAAAGAAAGCGAAGGTGTCATGTGGGGTTGCTCACTCCAGTACAAGATGAGGAACACCTCACTCATTGGTGATGGAGATTCAAAATCATTCCCACTGTATTGGCCCTCAACCCCTATTATTCCATACTCAGAAGGAGGTAATGTGTGTCAACCATCTGGCAAAAGAGTAAGTCAAAATTGATTTTGATTGTTACGTGTCATGAGAAATCAGAGTGATTTATTTCAGATACTCGATATCTCTCTCAGAAAAATGCCTCACTATTACTTAGGCTATTATACTTATAGAGTGATTAGTTCATTGAAAACAATGTCTTATTCAATTTAACTGAAGAGAAGTAAAGTGCAAACAATAACTGCACTTTCATTGATGCTGATCTCATTCAGATTACATTCAGATTACAGATTAGGCCTAATATTAGTGTGAGAGATAATACCCCCGTCCCCTCCATTTAAACCTATTTATGCTCATCAACTGTGCTTCAACTCTTTTGTCAGCAATTGACACAAGTAAAAGTACTGTGATTGAAAATGCAATAATAGTTTGATGCAGTGGCGTCTCGTGGGTTGCAGACAAGGTGGTGCAGAATTGGAAAGTGAACAAATGGGCAATAGGCTTACCAGCTACTATTTCACTTGTAATGAGCGGTAGGCGGGCGCTCTGGTGGGGTCTGTTCTTTCTATTGCTTTCTGCGAGTCTCTCTGTGCGTGTTTGTGTGTATGTGTGTGTGTGTGTGTGTGTGTGTGTGTGTGTGTGTG